AAGGGGAACAAGGTTCCGGGGGGGGGGTTTTCCCACCCCCAGCCGCCCAGCCCAGCCCGTCCCGCCGGCTCGGGGCGCGGTGTCCAAAGGTCACCCACCCGTGGTGGCCAAATCCATCCTGCCAGCACACGGAGCCACCGACCCCCAAAGCAGGAATATCTTGTAATTCCTTACACCCCAGGTGGTTTTCCTTTGGGGGGGGAGGGGGCGTTTTGGGTTGTTGTTTTCTTTTGGTGTCGTGGTTTTTTTACACCTCGTTCGGGGAAGAGTTTTCCCCGGGAGCGGGTACAGGGGGGTGGTGAGGGTGGGGGGTGGCTCTTGTCTTGCTCTGACGTGCTGTTTTCTTTCAGATGAAGGATGTCACCAGCTTGCCTGGCTTTGGGACCACGGCACAGGCAGGGTGCAAAGCCCACTAGTAGGACATGACCCTTAAACTCTTGCTCTAAAGCTTAGCCCTATAGGTATATAAGATCACTAGAGCTTAAAACCGGGGTTGGTTTATTATTTTTTAAAAGTCTTAAGCTTGGGTTTGGATTTCTTTTGCCTTGTTGTTGTTGTTGTTTTTGCTTTTTATTTCTTTTTTTCCCCCCTGTGGTTCTTTTATTGGTTTATTTGTTCGTGCCTCCGGCGGGGAGATAAGAGGCAGGGCTTGTTAAGATAAACAATAAACCCCACTGCTTGCTAAAACAAAACCAAACCAAAACCAAACACAAAAGCTTTTTGGGGGGCTTTGGTTTGAGGAGGGGAAGAGCCAACGAGGCTCCCATCCCCCCCAAAAAAGATCTGGAAGGGGATGGGGCTGTGGGGCTTTGTGTCCCCCTCCCCACCCTCTTCCCAGCACCGACCTGCTACCTCGGGGAGGGCTGAACTCCCTGGTTGGCAATTTTTTTTTCTTGAGGGGGGGTTTCTGCCCTTCAATGCCCCCCCGGGTGGGTTGCAGGTATTTTCCAGTCGACCAAGAAGTTGTTCCTGAGGGAGCGCACGGGTCGGGGCCGGACGCTGGAATTCATCCGGAGGAACGTGGCCAACGGGCTCTCCGTGGGCAACCTGGTGGCAGGACTGTGCTCTGTGCTCTGCAGCATCAACAGGTGGGGGGAGAGAGGGGAAAAAGGGGGAAAAAAAAAGGGGGAAAACTGGATGAGGGGAGATTGGTTCTCCTTGCCAAACCCCAGCCTGCTTAGAAAAGGGAAATATGAGTGGTAGGAAAACTCTGCCTGGGGAGGCCTTCCAGTGCCTGCAGGAAAGCTGGGGAGAGACTTTGGGAAGGGCTTGTAGCAAGAGGACAAGGGGGGATGGATTGAAACTGGAAGAGGGGAGACTAAGGTGAGACATGAGGAGGAAATCCTTTGCTGTGAGGGTGGTGAGAGCCTGGCCCAGGTTGCCCAGAGAAGCTGTGGCTGCCCCATCCCTGGCAGTGTTGAAGGGCAGGTTGGATGGGGCTTGGAGCAGCCTGGGCTGGTGGGAGGTGTCCCTGTCCATGCAGGGGGTTGGATCTAGATGATCTTTAAGGTCCCCCCAAACCAAACCTGTCTGGGATTCTATGAAATGGGTCAGGGTCAGCCCAGTGTTGCCCTCCCCAGGCAGTACCACCACTCCTGCTGGCTGCTCCTGGTGGGCTTCCTGCTGGATCTGGCCGACGGAGCCGTCGCCCGGCAGCTCGATGCCTGCTCAGCACTGGGTGAGTCTGTCCCCAGGGTGGGGGACACACACCCACTGCTGGGTTCTTGTGTCCCCCCCCTCAACTCACCTGGCAGCTGCCCATAGGTGCCAAACTGGATGATTTTGCTGATTTCACCACCTTTGGACTGGCCACGGCTCTGCTGCTGCAGCCACAGGGGGTCCTGGGGGGGCTGCTGGTCATTGGCTACGTCATTGGCCGCTTACCCC